GAATTCTGAGAATGAGGAGGAAGAGGAAGTAGGAGGGTTTTTTATGCAGAAGATTCTTCAAACACAAACATCCAAAGGGGGAGACCTAATCCAGGAAACGGAAACAAACTATAGAACAACTGTGATCGGTGCCTCAGAGAGATGGGAGAAGAGATTGGAAAAATTAAAAAATGCCTTCCAGATATCTTGGAAACTAAGAATTCAATAGATGATCTGAGGAGTAGAATAGACATCCTTGAAGAAAGACTTTGCAATCTAGATGATGAAATGGCACAATTCTCTAGGGATATCATACACATTGTGGCCAATCAGATAATAAATTAATGCTAAGGGAGAGGGAGGATAGATTAAAAAGTGCCAACATCCATTTGATAGGAACCTCAGAAAAAGAGAGTGAAAGAATGAAGCAGAGGACATTCTGCAGGAAATAATTGAAGAAAATTTTCCAGAGCTTCGGGATTCTAGTCTTGGGATAGTGAGTGCTCACCAGATCCCCAGCATGATTGACAAAAACAGACTCACTCCGAGATACATCTTGGTAAAGTTTTTGAATTGTAGTGATAAAGAAAATCCTAAAGGCTTCTAGAAAGAAAAAAGAAAACACCTACAGAAAGGCTTTCGCCCAGAATCCTGTATCCAGCCAAATTGGCATTTGATTTCCAGGGTGTTAAAACAAAGATATTTTTTGATATGGAAGAATTTAGGAAGTTTATTTCTTGTGTACCCACTTTGAAAGAATTATTGGAGAAAACAACATAGGTGGCTGAAACTTACATTCTCCTCACCCCAACATAGATCTAGAAAATTGATGAATCATGTCTGTCCAGAAGAGTGGGAGCTAACTGGGGATGAGGGGAAAGGAGTGGTCCTACCCAGATGTTAGGAAGGTTAAAGGGCATATTTTAAAAATTTAATGATAGTCATTGTAACTATCATTAAATCTTCCCTAGGGTGAAGATTCTGTATTACTGAGGGGGGAGGAAGGAATCTGTCCAAGGAACAGATGGGGAAAGTAACAGAAATGTACAGGGGAAAGGTGGCAGGGTAAAGTAGAGAAGAAAAAGTGCAACTGCTGAGTGTATGGAGAAGGATATTCCATAATTTTATTATGTATCAGTGAATCTGCCTTTTCCATTTGAATATACTCATCTTGCTATTAAAAGTTTTACCTTTTTCAAAAAAAAAAAAAAAAAGATCACACTGCCCTCGCGGGAGAAACCATCCTGTCTTTTTTCAAAACATTCATCTAGAAGCTGCACAGAAGAGTTCTGGAAGTGGCACCTTGGTTCATGGCCTGCCTTTCCAGCTGGGCCTTTCTCTGCTCATGACTCTAGTATAATATGAAGGTCGCACTTTTGAGCCTCCAGTCGGGCATTCTGGCTTTTTGTCCCCAGTGTTAACTTTGACGTTTCTCGAGGGTGGACAAGTGTGTGAAACCCAGTAGTAAGGCCAGTGAGGGGAAGGGAGAGAATTTCTGCTTGCCATTTGTGTTTGTGACAGCATGTACAAAATGGATTCTCTTGATATTCTCTCAGAAATATCAAGACTTAGAACCTTTAATAACTAAACAATGGCACAAATAATTCGAGTTAATGACATGCAAATGCAGCAGCACTTGAACTTGTCCCAATCAGAGAATTTAGGACCGCAACTGCCAGGATTCAAATCAGGCTCCTGTTTCAGCTTAGATGCAGATTCACTGGACTCAGCACCATCTTTTTGGGAATTAGGCTTTGGATCCTGCGGTGTTGGTGCTCAGAAGGAATTTGGAGACCTAGTTAATGGAAACCAGAAAAATGCACTCGAAATTTCATCTTGAATGTGAACTAGGCATCTTAGTAACAAGAATATGACCGCAGATTCAGCCGGGTGTTATTTGAATAATACCAGCCGCCCTGTGGCTTGAGGCCTTGGGAAAGGCCTGGGTGTGTTGTGGGTGCAGAGGGGCCAGTGTCCCAGGATAGGTTCCCCTTGGGAAAGGGTCTTGGTGCATTGTAGCTGTTGATTATCATGCTGCTCAGACTCCCTGAGGGCTAGTAACTGATAGAAACTGCCATGTTGTCAACATGAAACTATGGTGGGAACTAGAAGGGAGTCAAAGTATCCACTGTAGAGAACTAATGATACTTGCTACCTGGGGACTGCCTGGGAGATGGGAAGAGGAAGATCCAAATTCAAAAGGAACACCAGCCTTCTCCACCGGAGCAGGGTCTGCTGGCGGGACTTAATTTGTGTTCTCTCTCACAGGCAACTGCAATGTCTGTGGACTGTCTTGGGCAGCATGCAGTGCTTTCTGGGTAAGTGTGTCGGCCACAATTTCTGGGGAACAAATTGCAAGTTAGGTTTCTGGGAAATTGGAAAATATCCTGGTATTTAAGGATTATGATCACAGGGTTTAATTCTTCCAACCTAGTGAAAACAGGACACTTGTAGAGGTTACTCGCTATTTATTTTTGTCTCTGACCTAACAGGTAAGCAGCAGAATTCCATCAAAATTTTAGTGACTGGTAGTGGTCTTAAAATTGCAATTTTGTGTTTATTGCATAGACTTTTCAAGAAAGCTATCTGGTATGGTCGGATAGGTAGTGACTAGGATTGAGGGAATCTGGGTTCTATTTTGGCAGTGCCACTAATCACAAGCCTGTGGACTTTTTTTTTTTTTTTTGGTACCAGGAATTAAACCCAGGGACACTCAACCCTTGAGCCACATCTCCAGCCCCTCCATGCCTTTTTTTTGTAGTTATAGATGGACAGAATGCCTTTTCTTTATTTGTTTATTTTTATGTGGTACTAAGGATTGAACTCAGTGCCTCACACATGCTAGGCAAGTGTTCTGCCCCTGAGCTACAGCCCCAGCCCCCCAGCCCTTTTTAACTTTTTTAATTTTAGAGTCTTGCTGAGTTGCTGAGGCTGGCTTTGAACTTGGCAATCTTCCTGCTTCAGCCTTCTGAGTTGCTGGGATTATAGGTGTGTGCCACCACTCCCAGCAAACCCAACCCCTGCACTTTTATTCAGTTGACCTAACTGCATTTTGGTTTTCTTTTTTTTTTTTTAAACAAACTACTCAAAGTCTTACATTTTTATTATTATTTTGTAGTTGTAGATAGACAGAATGTCTTTATTTTATTCATTTGTCTTTATGTGGTGCTGAGGATCGAACCCAGTGCCTCAAGCATGCTAGGCAGGTGCTCTGCCCCTGAGCCACAATCCCAGCCCTGCATTTTGATTTTCTAATGAAGGAATTCAATTCCATCAAGAAGAAATTAAACTACATAGTATTCTGTAATGTTATTAGATTTTGTTGTTCTTGTTGATGTTGTTTTTGCAGTTCTGGGGATTAAGCCTGGGACAGTTTATCACTGAGCTACATCCCCAGTTCTTTTTATTTTTTATTTTTTTAATTTTGGTATAGGGTCTCGCTAAGTTTCAGAGGCTAACCACGAACTTCTGATCCTCCAGTTTTAGCCTCCTATATTGCTGGCATTGTAGGCATGTGCTATCACAGGCTTCTGTAGTGTTTTCAAGCTCAAAAAAGAAGATTCTGGCAATTAAGTTTCATCTCTGCCTTTGTAATAACCCTGGTATTGTACCAGAAGAAAATTTAATGGGCAGGGTCCTCCCTTCCCTTTCACATTGCTCTGGGTTACTATCCCTACCTCTCAAATTCAGTTGTTTTTTTAATTAACTTAGTTGTTTATGAACCTATTTACAAATCAGTGAAAATATTTTCTTTTACCTTCATTATTTTATTTTGAAATTGTTTTATAATTTACCTTTTTAAAAAAGCACACGCACATAGCAAACATTTAAATAGTTCAAAGGATATATCATGGAAAATTTTTCTCCTACGTTCTGACTAAAGACATTATTGACATTGTTTTCTTTTGTGACACTAGGCACATGGATAAGGAAATATTGTATTTCTCTCTTTTAGTTCTAGTTTCCTGGTCAGTTTTTGAAAAACAACTTGTTAAGATACAATTAATATATACATGTAATATGAATTACATGTAATTCACTTCTTTAAAGAGTATAGTTTAGCTGGGCATATGGCTCATATCTGTAATCCCAGTGGCTCAGGGGGCTGAGGCAGAAGGACCACAAGTTCAAGACCAGCTTCAGCAACTTAGCCATGCCCTAAGCAACTTCGTGAGACCCTGTCTCAAAATAAAAGACAATAACAACAACAAAAGGGCTGGGGATAATAGTTCAATGGTAAAGTGCCTCTGGGTTATATCTTCAGAACCCTCCACCCCTAAAAGAGTGTAATTTAGTGTTTTTTGTATATTACATTTTTAATTTCATACTCACTTTTTTTTTTTTTTTTTTTTTTGCAGAGCTGAGATTGAACTCGGGCACTCAGCCACTGAGCCACACCCCCAGCCCTGTTTTATATTTTTTATTTTAGAGACAGGGTCTTACTGAATTACTTAGTGCCTTGCTTTTGCTGCAGCTGGCTTTGAACTTGAGATCCTTCTGCCTCAGCCTCCCAAGTTGTTGGGATTACAGGCGTGTGCCACTTGGCTTTATACTCACTCTTTGTAGCAGTTTTTTTTTTTTAAATCAAGGAAATACCTGTAAATGTTTTAATAGTGGTGTAGCACTACAAAGCTTATGTTAGAGAACAGTGGTCTCCACCTCACTTTTCCCCTGGTTCCGCTGGAAGCTCATATCTCAGACTCTAGCTCTGCCTTTCGATTGCCTCCATTTTCCCAGTTAGTGCACATGAATGACTCCAGCTGGTTTTATCCTTCTTGAACATTATAAATTGACTCCTTACACCAGAAGATGAGGATTGGTTCTTTTTCTACACTCTTGCACACCTACCTGGACTTCCCCCTTTTTCCAGTACTGCTCTATTACAGTCATTGGATTGATTCAGTATTTGAGGGTTTTTTTTCTCAGAATTATTGTGAGAGGTCCTGTGCCATTCTGATTCTGGGCTCTTTGTCACTTATCTTTCTTTTTGGAAGCTTAAAAATCCTATCTTTATCTCTGGAGTTTGTGAAATTTTCACCGTGACTGCTTTGTCTATTAGTCTTTGTCCTATTAGTCAGTGTTGGCTTTTCTGTGGATTCTCTTCTGACCTTTTTGTCCTTTTGCTTTGCATCCTGGGAGTCTCTAACTTTAACATTCATTCCTTCTATCAGATTTTCTTAAATTTCAACTATTTTAATTTTCAGAAATTTTCAAGATTCTTAAAAACTTCAACTATGATTTTAATGTACTCTACACTCTACAATATTCTCTTAACTCAGAGAATGTTGATTCCAGGCTTTTTCTCTCCTCTATGTTACCCCTGTTCTCACTGAGTTCCTTTCCCCCCCACTGTTCGTCTCTTTCAGGTTTCCTCCAGTGACTAAGCTGATTGGCTCTCTGTTCACACTGAAGAGTGATCGGAGTGGCTGTCTAGGTGGGTGGCTGTGGGCACATTTTAGGGAGATCAGGCAGGAACTGGGACTTCTTGTTAGTGGGTGCCCAGGTAACCCTATGTCCAAGGTGTTGTTTGTGGTTGCTTATGTTTTGGGGGGACTGGTCATTTTCACCTGACAAGTGTTGTCAAAAAAGGGGCTGGGGTTGTGGCTCAGTGGTAGAGTGCCCGTCTAGCATGTGCGACGCACTGGGTTTGATCCTTAGCACCATATAAAAATAAATAAAATAAAGGCATTGTGTCCAATTATAACTAAAAAAATATTTTTTTATAAAAGTGTTGTCTAAAGGATAAAAGGTGGCATTGTGAGGGCCCCATACCAGTAACGGAAGGGACTGGAGGCCTCGTACTCACATTGCCAGGTTTTGAGTACAGCACCTTAATTTAGCAGCTGTGCTGTGCTGCTAATCCCAGGCTAGGGAATAGCAGCACCCACCTTCCACCTGGGGTGAAGGAGAGGTAGCTCACCTGGCTTTTTGAGGGTCATATAAACCTCTCTCTTTAGTGTACTTTCAAACAATTCTTGTATTTTGTTCTGTTTGTTTGTTTTTTTGTCTCCCAGTGCTCCCCTGTCCTTACCTTGAGGATCCTGCAGGTCCTGCAGTGTGAGCCAGATGGCTTCTTGGGCTCCTCCCCTCACAGCACTTGAACTTTATTTAGCTTTCTTTACTCTACATCAGTTAACCACCTGTCCATCTGCTTTCCATTTTGTGTACCTTTGTGAGTTTCTTTTCTTTCTTTCTTTTTAGCTCTTACTTGAGTGAGGCTTCAGGGGAGTGAAGGTAAACCCAGGTTTCACCAGCCATGCTCATCTGAAGTGCCCGCTTTCTGCTCTTCTCCGTTTGCTCCGTAGCGTCTCTGAACTCCCTGGTGATACACCTGTGTGCCGAGCTCTTGTCCTTGTACCATTTTTTTTTCTAATGGAAGAAGCCAGCCTGTCTACTGCAGGCGCAGGTGATTGCTTTGGGGGAGGCCAGAGGTTCAATATCTTTGTTCTGCATTAACTTTTTTAGAAATCCTGGAAGTTTTGTGAAATTGTATCTTCCCCATTATCCTTCTTCTGCCTTAAGCTCTTTAGAATTTCTCCTGCCATCTAGAATTTTACAACCCATTTGTCTGAACAGGGGCTACTGATCATTTTATTTTTGAGCTTACCTGTTCTTACTGATAGCCAGGGGCTCAGAGCTCTCTCTTGAGGATGACTGTGGGGATGTTGATTCATATACCAAGATTTTTTTTTTTAACTTGAAAAATAGAGGAGCACAGTGCATCCTTGTTTTCAGATAATTTATATTGGTTGATATCTTTAACGTTATTGGTACTTACTGTGTTATCTTTTTTTCTTGGGTTTTTATTTCCCTTCCTGATAGATTTAATTTAGTTTCCATGTAGTAGTCTTGCAGAGGAGTTTGAGATTTTTCTGCAGGGGTTAGCTAGGTGATAAATGAAGTGTGTAATTTAACACACATTTATTGAGTGTAGAGCACTGTGCTTACTGATGTGGAGCATACCAAGATGTTCAAGACATGGTCCATCCATACTCCAGACACATTAGTAGTCCTGCTATAGAAGTAAATGCTGCCCATGTCCCAGGATACAATGTGGAAGCAGTAATTGACCCTAATTGGGGCCTTGGGAAGGGCTTGGAGAGGGCAGGTTGGAGCTCAAGTCAGGGCGAGCAGATAGACTCTTAGGGGTTCATATGGTCAGGAAGGCCACCTTTGGAGGTAGACACTCACCGAGATACTGCTCCCTGTGCTTAACTGCCAGTTTGAGTTACTCTTTTCCCTTGTGTACCTCTCAGAGTAGATAAATGTCATGTGCATCTGGGGTTTTTAGGAGCACTGTTTGCAGATCATATGTGATTCTAAGTGTGCTCTTCTGTCTCAGTGCTAGTGTGGCTCTGTTGCTATATTGCTGTAATGCTGATGTTGTTCTCCTAGTCGCAGATTCCTGTACATCGTCAATCTAGATGCTCCTTTCGAAGGTCACCGGAAAATCTCTCGTCAGAGCAAATGGGACATCGGAGCTGTGCAGTGGAATCCTCATGACAGCTTCGCACATTATTTTGCAGCTTCGGTAAGTTCACTTTGAGAATGTCATCTTTTTCATGTGTCATCTTGGGCTAGCAGGTTTGTGTCCTGTGTAGAAAAGAAAGTATAATTCTCATTGCTCAGTCAGAAAAGAGATTTGAATGGCTCTGCAAGAAAGAGGCAAGTTAAAATAAATAAATATACATATATATTACACGTGTGTGTACATGTATATTATGTTTGTTTGATGGTTTCATTGGTGTCAGGCCTTGTATTTCTAGAGCCTGAATCTAGATTTTGAAAGGGAAGCAAGTGGTTGCCTTCGTTTCTGTGTGTGGTGAGAACCCATTTTCATTAGCAGCAGGGTAACAGCCAGTGGCCAGATGGCAGATGACTGGAAGATGTTTAAAGAGGGTACCTGGGGAGCGGGCCTGGGCTCTGCTCCCATCACTCTCAGAGGGAGAAGGAGACTCCCTACTCCCTTCCCCTCAGAGGAGGGGCTTCTTGATTGAGATTCCTTAGATTGATTGACCTCGTTGAATCTGCATGCCTCCTTATGTGTGAATTTTCCCAGGGAAAACACACGTAAGTCTTAATAGGTTTTCTGAGAAATTTATGATCCTAAAAGGTCCTGGGCTCCATCAGCTCTGGCATCTTTCTCCAGATTCTACGCCATTGTTCTTTGCTGGCTCTTCTGAATAGTGCCCATCTGAACATGTGTGTGGATGTACTTGTTTTCAGTTCTGAACCTGTGCTCGGGAGTAGAATTACAGGGTCATATGGTTATAACTTTTTTAAAAAAAAAGTTTACTTTTTAGTTGTAGTTGGACATCATACCTTTATTTTATTTATTTATTTTTATGTGGTGCTGAGGATCGAACCCAGGGCCTTGCCCGTGCTAGGTGAGTGCTCTACTGCTGAGCCACAACCCCAGCCCTGATTATAACTTTTTGAGGGAACTAACAAACTGTGTCCCACAGTGGCTCATCTGTTTTGTATTCCTGTTGGCAATGCATAGGGCTTCCAGCTTTTCTATATTCTCACCAACATTTGTTGTTTAATTTAAATTGTTGTCATTCCTAGTGGGTATGAAGTGGTCCCTTATTTTGTTTTTTTTGATTTACATTGCTCTAATGACTGATGATGTTAAGCATCTTTGCATGTGCCTATTGGCCATTTATGTACCTCTTTTTTTTGAAGAAGTGTCTTTTCTGGTCCTTTGCCCTTTTTGGTTTGGTTGGGTTTTGGGTTTCTTGGTTGTTTTTGCTGTGTTAGGGATTGAACCCAGGGCTTTGAGCAACACCCCAGCCCCATTTTTTTTTTTTAAACACAACTAGGGATTAAACCTAGGGCCTTCGGTATGCTAGGCAGGTGCTGTACCGTGGAGTAACAACCTTAGTCCCTATACCCAATTTTTTTTCCCTTTGCCCATTTCTGAATCAGGTTATTTGTACTTTTGTTGTTGAGTTGTGAGAGTTGTTTGTATATTCAGGATGCTAGACCTTTATCATCTATGTGATGCAAATAGTTTCTCCAACATATTTGTCAAAGAAATATTGTTTTTTTCACTTTCTCTTTTTTTGTGTGTATGTGGGGGAGGTGGTACTGGGGATTGAATTCAGGGGCACTCAACTACTGAGCCACATCCTCAGCCCTATTTTGTATTTTATTTAGAGACAGGGTCTCACTGAGTTGCTTAGTGCCTCACCGTTTTGAGGCTGGTTTTGAACGTGTGATCCTCCTGACTCAGCCTCCCAAGCTGCTGGAATTACAGGTGTTTTTGTGTGCCACCATGCCTGGCTGTTTTTTCACTCTCTTGATAATGTCCTTTGATGCACAAAAGTCTTAATTTTGATGAAGTTCAGTTTATTTATTTATTTTTTCTGTCATTGTTCTTGGTTGGAAGGCAGCTTCTTGCAGAGAAAGAGTTTTAGAATTGGGCAGATCTGGAGTCGAGGCCTAGTTTGAACTCTTTTTTCTTGAGCAAGCCACTCAACTTTCTAAGCCTTGGTTGCATCATGTATACTTGGATGATGATACTCACCATGCAGGGAGGTGAGAAAGGTCAGATTGGATAAGGTGCCTTGTACATGGATGAGAACTGACAGACCCTCTGGAAATAGTAGGAATGTTATAAGATGAGGGAACTTTTCATTCTGTTCCCATTGAAAGCTATTTTGAATCCTAACCTTTTCACAAGAACCTTACCTGTTTAGATTTGGAAACTGGCATTTCAGAATAAAAGTCTCAGAACTTAATTTAACTGTCTGCCTCTGAACTAAAATGAAAATTAGTCTATTATATTTATCAGTTCAGAAAGTATTCCATGGCCTGCCATTGTTCTCAGTCTGTTGGTGTCTTTATCCTCTTTGAGTTTAAGTGCACAGTATTTAGGGAACTGTTCTGCTGTTTCTTTTAAATGAAATGTACTTTGATAGAGCCATTTATTTTCTTCCCCCTTTTTAGTTGAGTTTCTTCTGGTCCATTTTCCTTGTCTCTTTCTCTTTAACCCTCAAATAAATTTTGTGTTAGGCATATTTCAGGGAGTCTTGTGTATAATTTTGCCTTCTTGCAGGTCCTTTTGATGGTGTTTCTTTTTTCTTTCTTGTGTATCTGGGTGTGTTTATGTGTGTTTTCGGTAGTAGAGATTGAACCCAGGGGCATTTTATTCTGGGCTACATTCCCAGCCCTTTTTATTTTTGATTTTGAGACAGGGTCTTGCTAAGTTGCTTAGGGCCTTGCTTAGTTACTGTGGCTGGCCTCAAACTTACAGTCCTCCTGCCTCCCCCTGCTGGGATTACAGGCATGTGCCACCATGCCTGGCATGTATCTCTGTTTTTAAAGTGAGGTAGGTGGACTCTGGGCATTTGGTGTGGGAAGGGTAAGCTGAAAGCATCCACTGTGACAGTAGTTGGAGAGTTAAGTGTGTGACCTTCTGAGGGGGGAGGAAGTTCCTTTAGTGGTCTGGGCTGTCTCTGTGGCCCATGAGGCTCATGCTCAGGAGCCCATCTCCAGCTTCAGGTCCACTGTGACTGTTCAAGATGGGTGCCCTTCCTGTTCGCGCTTGGCAGTGCCCAGGGTGCATGGAGACATCAGCATGATGCAATTCCATTTTGAAATTCATAGCTGTATGTACTAGCTGAGGCTTGTTCAAGCTGATGTTTATTATACTGATTTCTTTTGGCTTTTTAGGAAGTTCGACCTATAGATCTCTGCCAGTTGGCCACCTCTTCTTGCCTTAAGCATTGGGGTGAGAACCTATATTCCAGTGGTATGTTGTGCTACCCACAGCCTTCTCTTCCTTATTTCTTTTCAGAGTAACCAACGGGTGGACCTTTATAAGTGGAAAGATGGCACTGGGGAAGTTGGCACCACCTTACAGGGCCATACGCGCGTCATCAGGTAGGCACCAGCCCTCCACAGTGCCTTGGCCTGTCTTACTTTGGTTAGTGAAATGAAGATGCTATCCCCCTTGCATGGCTTGACCCTGTGTGTTGCACTGGCCCTGAGGCCACCAAGGTGCTCGTGAAGAAACCAAGGACAATCAATATTTAAGAAGTGTCACCTATGTATCTGTTGACCCAAAGCTGCTGTTTGCCAGAGGAGGCAGGGGAGGTATGCAGTAGAATCCCCAGGGCAGGGTCTACTGTGCCCTGAGTGTGTGGAGACACCAGCAAGCAACTGTGGTCATTACAGTCGGCTCCTGCACCCCAGTCTGCTATCCACGTGCACAGTTGCCTCCCACTTAGGACCTTCCAGAGTGTTCTTGAGCCTCTCTTTCCCTGGGCAGCTGTTTCTTGGTAGGAGAAACTTTTTCTAGGGAGTAGCATCAGGGAGTTCAGGGGGAGTGAAACTGATCTGGAAGTGAGGGCACTAGTGTGAGGCGTTCTGTGGAGTAACCACCTTCCTGGGGCTGAGGGTTCAAGTAGGGAGCCCCAGGGCTGCCAGCCCTCCTAGAAGGGGGTGTGGGAACATGGCTGTTCACCCCGCTTAGGAGAGGTGGGTTACCCAAGGTACCCATGGTTGAGTCTCACTTAGAAAATGGTAATCAAGGGACTGGGGTTGGGGCTCAGCAGTAGAGTGCTTGCCTGGCATGTGTGAGGCACTGGGTTCCATCCTCATCACAACATAAAAATAAACAAGATAAAGATTTTGTGTCCGTCTACAACTAAAAAAAAAGAAAAAAGAAAAAGAAAATGGTAATCAAAGATTACTTCATGTGGTTTCCCTGTGTTTTGTCTGTGTCTACTTATTCAGAGAGTCTGTTTTAAGTTGCCATGCTCCATTTATTTTCTGGGAGCAGGTGGTAGAGTAGTTGACAACCACAGGGAGAAGGACCTGAATGTTTCCTTCGGAGCTCGTTTAACTCTTGCTCATTCATAGACAACTTTGGAGATCTCCAGTCTGAGCTGCAGTAAGAAGCCCATTGATGGTAACATTCAAAACCACTGGAAACTAGATTTACTAGTGCTTTGGAACTGAAGCTTTTTTCTTTGTTTCTTTCTTTCTTTTTTTCTGTTAATTTCTTCTCTCCTAGCGACTTGGACTGGGCAGTGTTTGAACCAGATCTCCTGGTCACCAGCTCGGTGGACACCTACATCTACATTTGGGATATCAAGTAAGAACAATGAGGAGGTTTAATCACTTGTTTGTGGGATTATTGGGGACCTTCATTTCAGAGATTATGTCTTAGTTTGGTTTCCTCTAGATGTAGATCCTGAAACAAGGGTTTGGGTTCAAGTATATGATATTGGAGATGACAGAGGCGTAGGCAGGGGTTGGAGAAGAGAGAGGCAGGTGGGGAAGACTGTTAAGCCAGGGAGCACCCTCCTCTGGGTGCCGGCATGAACAGGTAGGGTGTAATCACGGGGGGTGCTTGGTGCTCCTGCAGAATACCTCCTCAGAAGTTTCCCACCGAGGGCCTAGGGAGCATGTTTGACTCTGCAGTCATCGGGAAGGCTGCCCCCAGGGGTCTGAGCTCCCTGGCACTCAGGCCTGTCAGAGTTCTTCAGAGCAGGCTGCAGCAGCCAGGGCAGTCCCCTTGGCAAAGCAACACAGGTGCTGCATTTGGAAGTCGAGCTGGGGTTGACTGGAGTGGCAGGTGATGGAGGGGATGATGACGGGCACTGCCACACATCTGCTCAGCTCCTCACTAGTTGTTTGTGAGGCTTCAGCTCCACGTCTGTCAAATGGGGCCTAAGGGACACCTCCCAGGGTTCTACCTCATGGCATAAGGAGTAAAGAAGCTCCCACCTCTGGCTTGGCGCATCAGAAGAACGATGTTCCTGCCAGGCTTGGTGGCACACACCTGTAATCCAAGGTACTCAGGAGCCTGAGGTGAGACTCAGGAGGGTAGTGAGACTGAGCCCAGCCTGGGTCACATAGCAAGACCCTGTCTCAAAAATAGAGGCGCTGGGGTGGTGGCTCAGAGATAGAGCACTCGCCTAGCATGCGTGAGGCACTGGGTTTGATCCTCAGCACCATATAAAATAAAATAAAGGTATTGTGTCCACCTCTAACTAAAAAACAAATATTTAAAACAATGTTTCAACAACAACAAAAAAATCCCAACAAGTAGAACAGTGCCCCTTTGTCATATGGTTAGAGCTGGTTGCTCTGAGGAAGCAGTCTGTAGGGTCCCTCTCCCCTAGCCAGGTGCTCTGCTTCCCACCTGGAGGTAACTCTGGACTACTACCAAGCTACAAAGGCTTGGACTGTAGGCAGAAGATAAGCCAGGTATTGGGGTGGAACTGACTGGCTAGACCAGCAAAGTGGCTCTGCGGGAGTGAGGTGCATGTGTCTGACTTGACTGTGCAGATACATGAGCCCCATGGCGCCCTTTGGTCTAAGGGCAGTGCCAGGGGAGACACACTGAGTCCAGGGCAAGTGGAAGGTGGAAGCTGTGGGCGGGAGTGGAGTGCACCTCCTTCACACAAAATGGGTCTTTTCATGATGTAAAGGTACTGAGCTCACATTCTTCCTCAGGTTTTCTAAACAGTAAACCAGAGCTGCAGATTTGCCTTCACTGGCCTCCTTGGCCCCAGGGTGCCACTGCTGGAGAAGATGCCCCTCGGATTTCTTCTTCTTTTTTTTTTTCTTTTTTTTTGTAGTACTGGGGATTGAACCCAGGGGTACCCTACTACCAAGCTACATCCCCGGTTGTTTTTAATTTTTCTTTGAGGCAGGGTCTTGCTAAGTTGCCCAGGCTGGCCTGGAACTTGTGGTCCTCCTGCCTCAGCCTCCCCAGTTGCTGGGGTTACAGGCATGTGCCACCATGCCCAGCACCCTTCTGACTTCATAGTCAACTGTGCAGTTTCTCTCAGAGTTCTCCTCTTGTAATCAGAGTAGTTCTTTTTTATGCAGTAGAAAACTCACAATGCAAAATTTATCATCTTGACTATTTTTGAATACACAGGTAACAGCGCTATGTGTATTCACACTGTTGGTGCAGCAGGTTTCCAGAACTTCTTCCTCTTGCAAAACTGACAGTCTGTCTACATTAAACAATTCCCCATTCTGTTCTTCACCCAGCCCCTGGCAACAACTCTACTTTTTTGGGGGGAGGTGGGGTGGTTACCAGGGATTGAACTGCTTCCTGCCTCAGTTTCCCGAGCTGTTGGGATTTCAGGCATGTGCCTCTGCACCTGGCACAACTCTACCTTTTGTTAAGCAAACAGCTGTAATTACTTCATGTGAGCAGAATCATCCAAGTTTATCTTTTTGTTGATGGCTTGTTTTACTTACATAATGTTGTTGAGGTTCATCTATTTTATGTCATATGCCAGAATTTTCTTCATTTTTAAAGGTGAATAATATTCCATTGTATGGACATACCACATTTTGTCTATTCCTTTTGCCCCATGGCTATTGGGAACAACCAAAGAAGGTTTTTTTTTTTCTCTGGTTGAAGACAAAGTAGAGGCACGCCATTTGTTTTTTCATTCGTGTACTTAGGGTAATGATGTCCATCTCATTCCACCAGGTTTTTTGTGCTTAAACACTGAGCAAAATCTTCAGGCCTTTTTATTTTTAGTTTTAATCACTAAGTTGCTTAGGGCCTTGCTAAATTGCTGAGCCTGGCTTTGAACTTGTGATCCTCCTGCTTCAGCCTCCCCAGCCACTGGGATTAAAGGTGTGCACCACCATGCCGGGCACTCAGAGAAGTTTTATAATCCACCTTTGAAATGCTGTTGGGAAGGTTCTTGGATTACACTGCCCTGTCACACGTTGCCATGGCAGTAATGACCCCAGGAGGGGGTTCTTTGGCTTCCTCTCCTGCCACATTGGGGCTGCCCAGGCCATCCTAAGTCATGTAATCTTTTCTGTGGATTTAACTGTATGATTTGAAATTCAAACTCAGCCTCCATTATAGTGGCTGAGAAAGTTCACCTACCTAGAGGGAAAACAGGTTTCTCTTTACACGTCTTTTTAAGGCCCTCTCAGCAGATCTAACTCCAGGTTCCTGGGAGAGTAAAGTGAAGAAAGTATGTGCAGAGAGTGGAAAGTACCAGGTCGCTGGGGGCATATGAATTGGGCATTTGACTTCCGATTTTTGTGTTTCAGAGACACAAGGAAACCCACTGTTGCACTCTCTGCTGTAGGTGAGTGTGTGGTCCCTGGTGTGCCTTCATCCCCGTGCTTCCCACTCCTGGCCATTTCATTGCTCCTCGTGGTCTGACCACTCATGTCCCACGCCCTGCTGGGTAAAATTGCAAGTCCCACGTTGCGAGGTGCTCGCTTTGCTCACGTTGCTCTGAACCCTAACCCTAACCCTAACCCTAACCCTAACCCTACCCTGCCTTAGCCCCCTCCCCCACCCCCTCCCCCTCCCCTCCTCCCACCCTTGGGGCTTCAGTGATTGTCATCAGACATCCAGTCTCCTTTCATCTTTACCTCTATCCACTGCCTCCCCCACTGCCCTCATTCCTTTGTGATTATTTTGAGCAAGGCTTAGGCGTTGTGTCATTTCTTCAACACATATTATGTATTATAAAAGAAAATCCCTAAAAAAGAAAGTAATCACTGTACCATTAACATACCTAAAATATTAATAATGGCTCCTTAGTATCTTCAGATATCTAAGAAGTATTCAGGTTTCCCCAGTGGTCTCTTTCTGAATTTCCCAGTAGTATCTCTGTCTCTCTTTCTCTTTTTTTAAAAACTGGTGCTGGGGATCAAACCCAGGGCTCTGTGCATACTAAGCACACTGTGCTTCTGACCTACGCCCCCCCTCCCCTGCTCTTGCTCTCCCCCCTTTTTTTTTTTTTTTTTTTTTTATACTTTGCATTGAACTCAATGGCACTCTACCACTGAGTCACATCCCCAACCCTTCTTATTTTGTATTTTGAGACAGAGTCTCACTAATTTGCTTAGGGCCTTGCTAAATTGCTGAGGCTGGCCTTGAACTTGCAGTCCTCCTGTCTCAGCCTCCCAAGTTGCTGGATTACAGGTGTGTGCCCCTGTGCCCTGCCCGTTTCTTTCTTAAAAAACAAACAAACAAACAAACAAACAAAACTGAGTCAGAATTAAAATAAAGTCTGGACTTCCAAGTAGTTGATATTTTTCTCATCTTTTTTAGTCTCCCTTTCCTGTTTGGGTTTGTTTGTTCTTTTCCTGCACAGTCTACTTATTTGAAGAAACCAGGTTGTCTTGTGCTTTCTCTACAATCTAGATTTACACTGATTATGTCCCCACGGTATCATTTGACATGGATGAATTGAGTCTTTGAAATCACTTTCTGATCTACCTGTTTTCGTTGCTTAGTTGGAGCTATTTTTGGAACTCTCAGCTGTGCTGGGGGGAATATTCCCCCCATTTCCCAGAGTAAAATGTGGGTTTGAAACTGGTATAACTTACAGTGGTGAAGTCCAGTCACCAGTATTTTGGAACCCTTGATAAAATCATATATTTTCTATCTGTTAAATCCTGTTCCTTTGCATCTTCTTGATACACCTGAATACACATTTGGTGTTTGTTCTAAAATGGTTACATGATTCTTCAGTCCTCTATGCCCTCACATCCCAGTATTTACACTTACCACCCTGATTGTGCTTAAGCTGCTATCCAGCTGACTTGTGTTATGTACCATCTGTGGTATATACATGCTATCACAGACACGGTCCCTAACCTCTTGGCGCCTATATTTGCATTACAGTCCTGGCCAAGGAGATGCTTAATAAATGGCGTTAGCCAGGAGTGGTGGTGCACGCCTGCAATCCCAGCTACTGGGAAGGCTGAGGCAGAAGGATCTCAAGTTTGAGGCCAGCCTGGGCAACTTAAACCCTGTCCCAAAATAAAGTAAAAAGGGCTGGGTGTAGATCAGTGGTAGAGCATCCCTAGGTTCAATCCCTAGTACTGAAAAAAAGAAAAAAAAAAAGTTTGCACAGATAGACACAGGAATCAAGCACCCGAGCTGTGTTAGGTGCTTAAGGCTCTGCGGATCTGATCACCAACTCTGGGCTCTTATCTGAGACAAAGGTTGGCTGCCAAAGACATACAACTGAATAAAAATACGAATGGTCTGTAAACGCTTAAGTCACATTCCCCTCACTTTGTTACTTACACCTACAGATTTCTAGATTGGTTTTAGAGAAACCTTAAAAAAATGAGTCATTTTTTTCAGCCCACTTGTTCTGATTGTTTTCTTTTTGTTCTAGGTTCTAAAAAATAGAGGTAGGAGATTCCTCTCCTTTTTTGTACCTCAATGAGGTTTCTCAGTGGTATCAGAACTACCCCGGGAGAAAAAGGCAAATGACAGGCTTGTGAATCCTTAAAAGCTGCTCCATTTAACATTCCCCAAGAGGTGCAGGCTTGGCTAGCACCTGCTCCCCAGAGTCTGTGGTTCCTGTCTGTCAGTGTTGATGCCCTTTGGGGGGTCAGTAAGAGCATGTCTCTGTGTGCTCCAGTTAAACAGTAGAATAAGTTCTACTGGTTTGGATCATGGTAGGGTGACTGTAGTTACAACAATTCTCTGCTCTGTGTGATCCTAATAAAGCAGGTTGGATTGGGGGTTCCCAGAACCCTTTGGAAGCCTTTGTGTTCTGACAGGACCCCACTGGGAAAGGCATATTTATTATGGTGTAAGTAATTGTCCAGAGGAAATGGAGCAAACTCTTCTTGCTGTTCTTCCTCTAGCTGTGCCCTTTCTTGCAAAGAAACTGAATCTCCTACATAATGTACATATCTTCAGTGTTCTCCAGCTTTTATTCTTACCAACTTAGGGTGCCCTCTGTCTTGAGAGAAAACAAGACAAATTGGGGAGCAGGAGGACAAAAGGGGGTTGTGTAACAGAACCTAGTTAAAAAGGAAGAATGAGTTCTACTGTTTTGTATCATGGTAGGGTGACTATAGTTTACAACCGTTTATTTGTGTTTTATAAAGAACTAGAACCAGAGGCATTTGAAAATCTCCATCACAAAGAAAAGATAAATGATTAAGGAGATGGAAATTTGATTACCCTGATTTGATCATTATACATTGTATGGATATATCAAATTACCACACTGTACCCCAAAAATATGTATAGTTAAAAATAAATTAAGCTGGGTGAGGTGTTGCACACCTTAATCCTAGCGACTGAGGAGGCTGAGGCAGGAGGATCACAAGTTCAAGATCAGTCTGGGGTGGGGGGGCAGGGGTTGGGGCTCAGTGGTAGAGTGCTTACCTAACCTGCTTGAACCACTGAGTTCAATCCTAAGCACCACATAAATGTAACATAAAGATATTGTGTCCACTTAAAACTAAAAAATAAATATTTTTTTAAAAAAAGTCTTTTAAAAAATGCTGAAAGAAAGATCAGTCTCAGCAACTAAGTGAGACTCTGTCTCAAAAAAATATTAATGGTTTTATAGGACTAGGGATATAGCTTAGTGGTAAAGTTCCCCTGGGTTCAATCCCAGTACCGAAAAAATAAAGATTAAGAATTCCTTAGTGAAGCAAAAATAACAACAAAACAATGGGGGAGGGGGTGGTGCAGGGGAAGAAAAGAACAAACAAGACAAATGAACACTTTCCAGACCCACCACAAGATATCGGTGGGCAAGGGCAGGCTCTGGCCTTCACTCTGTCCTGTTAGGTTCTGGTGCTTGCTGCCTGGGCTTCTTGGATCAAGTCGTTCTTGAAGCCCTGCACCTATGGGGTCTCCTCAGGGAAAGGTGGCACCGATGTCCTGTCAGCTGTGGTGTGGGCATGGATGAGAAGAGGCAGGAAGGAGGGCCAGCAGCATGGTGCTGGTTTGACTTGAAGGACTTGATTCATTTTCTAGGACTTAGCTAGAAGTGCCACTGTGTCCCAGTTTGCCCTGTCTCAGCCCTGCCTGGCATCTCTCATTGTGTCTCCTGTCTTAGGTTCTCTTTTGACACTGTTCTTGCCTCTCTGGATTGGCTCAGAGAGAAAGGGACTGAGTTTTCACACCATCCTGACCCCACAAGCCCAGTGCCAATGGCCTCTCTAACTGCTGATGGGGAGATGAGAGTCCACGGGAGCACAGGACCTCTGAGGGCAGAGTCGGACTGCTCTGGGGTTGACTCTTCAGCTGAGCTTTGGCTTGAGACTGTTTTTTAAGACTGTCCCTCAAAAACAACAACTATGACTACGGGTGGGACAGAGCCAACACAGAGCTGAGGCGAGGCTGTCTGGTGTGCTGGGGACAAGGAGGGGTCAGGTACCAACCAATGCTAGGCTTAGCCAGTACTCAACTGCCGGTCCCCTAAGAAGCTAGATTTTCCTCCCTGCTTAGAGTAACCTGCGGGTTTTTTCTGGAATTATTTCCTTGATTAAGTGACTCTGATCCTGCTTTCAGTGTGCTGATTCACTCCCTTTTGGCTACTTTTTGTCTGTAACGGTGGAGCTGGTGTAGTCCTAGGAATTGGAAGGATTTTTCTGTTCACTGACCAGAGCTCATTGCCCCCTCCCCTGGATCTGCTTCATTCTGCTTCAGAAGGCCGTGAGGGCAGCAGCTTTCTTCTCCTGGTTTTCTTTGCAGCTGGTGCTTCCCAGGTCAAATGGAATAAAAAAAATGCAAACTGCCTCGCCACCAGCCATGACGGTGATGTACGGATATGGGATAAGCGGGTGAGTAACCTTTTCCCTTGTTGTTGGTCTTTCGTCTCTCCCAGAGGGTGTGGAGAGGATGTTATGAGTCCAGGGCTTGTCTTAGCAGTCTGGGGGACTCTGTGGCATGACATAGTGTCATTTTAAATTCAAAGTACCAGATAGCATTTGCTTCTCAATTAAACTGATGTTGAAAGAAGGTTGGGGAGTGGGGCATTATGACCAGAGGTTAAGACAATGAACTTGGCCGACCTATGTTAGAGCCTGTTGTGCTGCTCCTCATTAGGACATCAGGCAAGTCACCACAACCTCACTAAGTGTCTTTACCTTCCAAGTAAAGATAATAGTCGGTGTGTCATTGAGGTCAAGCCCTGGGGACCCAACACTGTTCTTAATTCAGTGATTAGTAGGCTTCGGATCCATGCCCGTTTGCCAAGTGGAAACCATTAACTCCACGGTGTAGACCATCTGAATACTTCAGTATAGGTCACTGAGGCAGGGAACTTTATACTCAAATGCCATGCCCCTAGAAGCCTAGATAGCTCACAGTCTCAAAATAACCTTCAGGTCGACCACATATTCCCACTGCCATGAACTCTGCGCATGCACCAGTAGGGCCCTAGGTGTAATGGGAAGTCAGTGGAAAGTTTCCTATGTTGGCATTGTTGAGAATATGATATGGGAAAGGGCTCCCCCACATCTTACTGCCAGATAAATCATAGAGGGGTCAGCTTTTTAAGACCTGGGATGTTAGTATCATCTCCTGCTTTGTGAATCTTGAGGCTAGGGATCCTCAGGAATTTGTGTGGAGGACTTTTCATTGATGTCCCAAACCAGGTGCTGACTGTAAAGTCTCAGCATCACTTTTGGCCGCACAGGGTACATTTGGAAGAGAAGAGGGAAGTGAAGCTGAGACTGTGTATGGCAGATCCTTCCTGTCTGTTGGATTAGGCTCCAGGACCTGCTGCCTGACGCCCCTGCCTTAGCCAGCTCTTAGGAAAGAAGGTGATTGTGTAGGGCTTGCACAGGGCATCTTCAGTGTGGTAGTTTCTTTCTTCTGTTTGTGTAGGTTGGTAAGGTCCACTTTCCCCTTTGTTTCTTTCCTTTTCTTTTTTTTTTTTTTTTTTAATTTTTTAGTTGTAGTCAGACATAATACCTTTGTTTTATTTTTTATCTTTTTTTAATGTGGTGCTGAGGATTGAACCCAGCACCTCATACGTGCTAGGCGAGTGCTCTACCGCTGAGCCACAACCCCAGCCCCTACTTTGTTTCTTAAATTGGTGATTGGTTTTATTCAGTTTGTCATTTGTCAGAAATGATCTATATAGAATACATCTGGTTAACCCGCAGTGCTTTATATTTGCCTTAGGTTGGTTCCAGAGCCATAGGCAATGTAAGCAATTTTGCATTTCACCCTGAACTCTGGCAATGTTTTCCTTATCTTAAAAGAATATAGACTGTTAGTATTTCTTTCTAGTTTCCTAATTGGTCCACTAATGTCACCAACTTCTCTCTGCCTTTTTATCTGTTTTGTTGAAAGGATTTTAGTTTGCTTTTATTTTCCTGTTGATATTAAGAACTTCTTGCTCAGGTGAGTTTTAAACTTGTGATTGTATTTTCACTTCTCTGGCACTTTCTAGTGTCAAAGCAGCACTGATGACAGCCACCATCAGAGGCCTAAAAAGTGACATTGGATTTCCACCCAGGCTCACATGTGACTAATAGCACTAATGTTTAGTAAGCGTTTCTTGGGCATCAGCATTGTTCTAAGAGAGTCACGTGTGTGGATTAATTTCTCTTTGTAATTAGACTTTCCAGTAGGGACTGTTTTGATCCTTGTTCACAGAAGGGTAAACTGAGGCACCGTTTGTTGCTAGGACTTGAACTTAGTTTGCACCTGGACTCTGTACTCTTAACTTACAGACTGATGCCTGTTATAGAAGTGATATATGTTCCTTGTAGGGGAAATAAAAAGAAAAAATAAAAATCATTCATACTCTTACTGTCCCAATACAAATGCTAATAGTTTGTTTTTTTTTCCTATACATTTTTAAAAACATAGTTTATCATATTGTGTATATAGTTGTGTGTACTTTTTTCACTTAACATTATAACTGATGCATTTTCTCCATATTATAAGCTCTAAGTATCTTTAGCAGCTATATCGTAGCCTATCACAAAGCTATAGTATAATTGATTTAATTAATTATTTCTCACTTACGATGTTTAGGTGGTTCCTGGTGTTCCAGTGTTCTAAATAATACCAATATTATTATTATTTTATTAAGATGAACATCTTTAGATGTAAAGGTTTTTGTGAATTTGGATTATTCACCTAAGACAGGAAAAATTTAAGTCTCAGGATAAATTTGCTGAATTTTTTTCCAAAAAATATTATACTATTTTATACATTCATCAGTGGTGATAGATGCAGCCTCAATGGCATTGAATATTATTTAAAAACATCTTCTAATTTGATAGTTTAAAAAATCTTGTTTTAATGTACATTTCTGAGGTTTCTTTCTGAGTAGGTTCATTTTATTATGCTGACTAATGTGTTTTCTGTGTGTATTCATTCTGTTTGAGATCTTAGTACCTGATGATTTCACCTTCAAGGTTGAAGTTGGGTCCCTTTGCATGCCACAGCCCCTCTTGGTCGGTGACTGTGAGGAAGGGGAGTAGGAGTAGGCAGATTCCACTGTCCTGGGTAAAGAACACCTGCTACCTGTATTTTTCCTAAAAATCATGCCTCAGGCTGGATCATAGAATTAGGCTGGCAGCATGTGAAGGAGAGCCAGATAAGTCTTTTGTTTTCTTTGATTTGTATTGCTTGAATGAAAGAAAATGGAGTTTCCAAGGGGCAGAGACAGTATCTGGCAGTATTTTTTTACCCCCCTCAGCACCCAACACACTGTCACATGGTAGACACTCAATGAGTTCTTCCTAAACCGACAAACTCAGTGCCAATCTGTTGCAGAAACCCAGTACAGCAGTAGAATATCTAGCAGCCCACCTCTCCAAAATCCACGGCCTGGACTGGCATCCAGACAGTGAGCACATTCTCGCTACCTCCAGTCAAGACAACTCTGTCAAGGTGAGTGCGTTACTGGGGGGTGGTTGGAGGAGCTGTGTTTGGGAGGTGTCACAGATGTGTGACAGCATTCGGGAGGAAAAGCTCTAGGTATGCTAGAGCATTCTCTGTGTGCTTCATGGTGCAAGTACCTCTTGAAGAGCCACGCAAGTAAACCTGATTGTAACAACCTGCAGGAGTGATGCTGTGGCATCTGCCTGAGATGCCTCTGAGAATTTGTTCAGAAGATTTGCTTTTCCTCTGTGAAAGTAAGTTAGAGATCAAAGCATTTAGAAAGTGAAAGAAGTTTACTTGCGAGGAAGTCAGATATACACAGAGATCTAAGTAAAGGAGAAAAGCCCGCAAAATTGTTAAGGTTGCCAAGTTTACGATCAGTCTGTTCAGCGTGGAAACAGCAGTTTTCTCCTCTGATTATCAAATATGCAAAAGTGATGACATTTCAGACATCAGCATTGCAAAAGTCAGAGATGGAGTTGTTTCGCTAGGTATTCTCTAACTTACAGGAAATGCTCAAGGTTTTACACATTTCAATGACCCAGTTATGGTTTATGTCAGAGCACAGTGTTTCTTGTTTTCCTTTCCCTGCTATGGCATGTGCTGTGTACCCTTGATTAGAAAGTGGCAGGACAGGGATTTAACCAACCAAGTTAGTTTAGCAACTGTTTGATTCAGCATCATTAATTTAATGCTCTGTTCACACAGCTATGTACAGGTCTTTCAGTATGGTTAGCAAAACTGGAGTAATGCAAAGGCTTAAAAGTTAATTTCTGGGGCTGGGTTGTGGCCCAGAGGTGGAACTCTTGCCTAGCATGCGTGAGGCACCAGTTCAATCCTCAGCACCACATAAAAATAAAATAAACATATTGTGTCCATCTATAACTAAAAAAAAGTTCTGTATTAAAGTTTATAATTCCCCTGGAGTTCTAATAGTTTTTTTTGTTTGTTTGTTTTCCTGCTACTGGGGATTGAGCCCAGGGATTTGTGTCTGCTAGGCAGGCACTCTCTACCACTGAGCTACAGCCTCAGGCTTTTTATAATTTTTATTTTGTGATAAGATCTCTTCAAGTTGCCCAGGCTTGTCTTATACTTGTGAGCCTCCTGCCTCAGCCTCCCCAGTAGCTGAAATTGCAGGTGTTGTGTCCCTGCATCTGGCTATAATTTATTCTCATATGCCAGAAGTTGCTTGTTTGGTTTTGTTTGTTATATTGGGGGTTTTGTCCCTCATCCCCATCAGCTTGTCTCCCAAGTTCAGGAACCAGAAACCATCCAATTCTAAATTTGAAAAAGGGATTAAGAACATCTGTTCTACAGTTGTTATAAAGATTAAATGGGATCAAAAACTTAAAGTTTTAAATATATATCTGAAATGCTGTAAGTAGGGCATTTCAGCTATTATTATTAAATTACTTATATTGTATAAAAGCAATATAGGATCAAAATCTGTCACTCTAACCTTTCAGCTACAAAGGTCATTTAACAGGCAGATTGCCTGACAATGATCTGCCCCGACTGGTGGTCCTGGTGAAGTCCAGAAATTCTTCTGTAATGTTTATAAATGTAAAAGGGAGATTCTTCATGTCTCTCACAGTAGCATATTTATGGGGGAGGAACTAAAAATACACTATTGAGATGTTTCTTTGGTGGATAAAAAGCAATGAGCTTGGAGTTTTTAAAATGGCATTTATTTCATAAATTATCTTTTTTTCTTCTAGTTCTGGGATTACCGCCAACCTCGGAAGTACCTCAATATTCTCCCTTGCCAGGTGCCTGTCTGGAAGGCCAGATACACAGTGAGTGAGATACCCTTCCTCTGGCTGGGGAACTTCCTGTTGGAGTTCTATACACAAGGGGCCAAGGGACATTTTCTCTTTATTTTCTTCATGAGGCACTTTTCTCTTCTGTCGTGGTTTGGGGCACAGTAAATACAGTAATGATGGCATAAATGCTGTTAACTTCTTAAAGTTTACTCTTGGAATGTTGGATAGGTTCTGTGTTAGAATTGCTGACCACCTAGCTCAACGGAGAAGCTGGATGGTGTGAACGTGTTCACTAGGGAGGGCCATGGGGAAGACGGAGGAGAGGCTGGAAGCCAGTGAACTATGAAGGAAGGAGCTCTGACTTTAGATTCAGAAGACCTGGGTTGAGGCCCAGCTCTGCCATTTAATGTTAGTGTGAGCCTTGGACCAGCCAGTTGATTTTGAGTGGAAATTTTATACTCTGTAGAATATGGAGAATGATTTTTACTATGTCTTCCTTTTTTATTATACTGAAATTCACCATTTTAAGATTCCTTAGAAAGGTGGGAATGGAACCACCATTTAACCCAGCTATCCTACTCCTACATGGGTTGGAGCCTTCCATCACATAATGTATTTTATTTAGGAAGAATCCCACCTTTAGAAGCTGAGATATACTATAGAGACAAAGCCACATCAATATTTATAGCAGCACAATTCACAATAACTAAACTGTGGAACCAACTTAGATGCCCCTTCAGTAGATGAATGGATAAAGAAAATGTGGTATATACACACATACACACACAATGGAATACTATTCAGCATTAAAAGAGAATAAAATCATGGCATTTGCAGGCAAATGGATAGAGTTGGAGAATATAATGCTAAGTGAAGTTTGCCAATCCCAAAAAACCAAATGCTGAATGTTTTCTCTGATATAAGGAGGCTGATTCATATTGGGGTTTGGAGGGGGGTCATGGGAGGATTAGACGAACTCTAGATAGGGCAAAGAGGTAGGAGGGAAGGGAGGGGGACATGGGGGTAAAAAAGATGGTGGAATGAGATGGACATCATTACTCTAAGTACATGTATGAAGACACGAATGGTGTGAATATACTTTGTATACAACCAGAGATATGAAAAATTATGTGCTATACGTGTAATATGAATTGTAATGCATACTGGAGTCATAAATAACAAATTAGAATTTAAAAAAATAAGTTATAAGTAATAAAATAAAGTCAGTGAGGGGCAAAATGAAAAGGTCCTGTGTCTGACCATGTCAGGAGGTGTAAGGCATAGTGTGTGGGTCTGTTTTTGAGCTTGTCAGTACCTGTCATAAAAATTTTCAGTTTGTAACCTTTTCCCCATCAAATATTTTAGCATTATCCTTACTTTGCAATATCATGTTTAAGGTTGACTGGATTTCCCACAATCATCATAATTAAATTCTTTCTGCAATGTGAACGCAGGCTAGATTCTGAAATGTCTTCATAAATGTAGCCACTGTATTAAGTCAATGGTATTTCAGGGAAAGTATAATTTAGAACTAATGTTGTTCAAATATAACAATAAATTTTGTTCTCTGGGACCTATTAGCTATCAAAATGTCATTTCTAATGTTCAGGGTACTTGTTGTGTCTAGTAGCACCCTGTGCTGTATCTTGTTGATTTATTTTCTGACATTTTTCTTACAAGATAACTCTTCCTAAGTTTTCACCTTAAAAGAAAAATTCACCATTTTAAAGTGGATAATTTGGTGACATTTAGTACGTTCACAATCTACCTTCCTTTTGAGATAATGTATGTGAATATGCTTAATAATCATGAAATACTATATGTAAAGATGGTAGGCTATTACCAACTCACCAACCATTTTTCAGTGGCCACATTGATAGCCACTGATGGGAGTTAATATATTTCCTTTAATGTCATAGGGGTGAGTAAAGCTGTCTTTATTCATTAGGCTGTCACTGTGGGGCATTGGGGAGTAGAGAAGATAATCGGGTCTTAAGTTGTTTTTGCATCTGGGAACATTTGTTAAGAAATCAGACACTGTTCTTATGAGCTGATACACTGCTCTGGATTAATGTTTGCTTTTAAAAATAAACAGAATAAGTCCAGGTGTGTTACCAGGAGAGGAAGTGAAGATAAATGAATATGCCCTTATTATTCCTTGACTAACACAATCTAATTATCAACCAGATGGGCCTCTTAGGTCCCTAGCAGATTGGGTGTTGCTAGGTAAAGCACATCAGTCTTGAGGTTACTGAGTTTAATTTTCAGTAGTTGTAGTACTGGGGCAGTGGAAGGTGATGCTTCTTGTGAATGGTGTGCTTCTGGCCTTTGCACATGGCCGGAATGATTGCTACTCCACGGCTTTTCCCAGGCAGATTCATGTGCTTATTTTTGAGAGGGAACTCATGGAGGGTAACTTGGCTGTGACATAGTACTTAGAGCATTGCTTGTTGTAGAATTTTGAAAGTTCTCCAAAAGTTTCCAAAGTTCTCTCTTATTTTTCACTTGCTGTGGTCTCTTCCATAAGCAGAGCGAAGGCTAGGTGTGACGGTCATTCCCCTACAAGGGTTGGAGCCTTCCATCACGTAATGTATTTTATTTAGGAAGAATCCCACCTTTAGAAGCTGAGACTTGGCTGATTGTCCCTGGAATAATTACCACTTTTCCCTTTCTTGCCGTAGCCTTTCAGCAATGGATTAGTGACTGTGATGGTTCCCCAGTTGCGGAGGGAAAATAGTCTGCTCCTGTGGAATGTCTTTGATTTGAACACTCCCGTCCACACCTTTGTGGGACACGATGACGTGGTGCTGGAGTTCCAGTGGAGGAGACAGAAGGAAGGTGGGTGGGAAAGAAGACTGTTGTTTGGCCTCCCAGAATATTTATTTATTTATTTGTTTATTTTTAGTTGTTGATTGACCTTTATTTATTTACTTATATGTGGTGCCGAGAATTGAACCCAGTGTCTCACATATGCTAGGCAAGCACTCTACCAACTGAGCCATGACCCCAGCCCCCCCCCAGAATATTTTTTTAGAGAGATTGTTCATCATCCTCTTAACTTTCTTATTCTTTTCTCCAAAATCTCCAAAATCTCTGTTGTTTCCAGAAGCATCATGCTTCCTGATCTTTACCCCACCAATTGTGTGCATGGCTTTTGACTTAAATCTCTTGCATTTTGCCATAGGAAATAGATGATGTAATCACCCTATAATCTGTCAGGAAGGGTTGACTGTAGTTTTGGATTCAAATAAATAGTTTTTAACAACCCATTTTTAGTTATCTATGTCATCTTTAAGTGGTGGGAACTTTCTAACTATTGCTGAAATTTCCGTTATAAATTATAGGGGTTTTTATAAAGTTCGTTTTTATTGTGAAATCTAGAAAATTACATTGAACATGAACAATTTAATAGTTATGAAGTGAAAACCTGTGTAAATCCCATCATAGTCAAGAAAGAACATTGCCAGGATCCCAGAGTCTTCCTGATCATGTTCTTCTCATCTTGACATTTAGGATAGCAATTTCTATTTTTTCTTTTATGGTTTTACCACCTATTTATGAATTCCTAAGAATAGTTTAGGCTTGCCTCTTTTTGAACCTTTTCTAAATTTATTATCCTTTAATGTGTTTTTATATTTACTTCCTTCCCAATCTAATATTGCTCTGATTTATTTCTACTGCTGTCTTCTTAGTCAGTTTTTATTGAATCACCTCATGCTTTGATTTTGATTTTCTCTGAGAGGAAGGATCTCTCAAAGAGGTAGGAAGGGCTGGGGTTGTGGCTCAGCAGGCTTGCCTAGCACGTGCAAGGCCCTGGGTTTGATCCTCAGCACCACATAAAAATGAATAAATAAAACAAAGGTATATAAAAAAATTATCTCCTCCCTTCAAAAAAAAAAGAGATAGGAAGAGAATCAGATGTTGTGGCCAAGGGCAAAGGGTACGTCCTAGAGGAAGTGGTAGGCATTGACTGTGGGTATTGCTGAAGGGTCAAAATGCAGAGTAGGAGAAAAGCATTTTAGTTCAATGAAAAGGAAGTCGTGTGATCATTAAGAGGGGAATGCCAAAGCAGTTTGAGTTGGGGAGCCAGATATTGAGGTGCCATAAACAGGCAGCAGGAACCAGTTTTGCTACCTTCAGAGGCAAAGAGTGAAATGAGCCTGCTGGTGGAGCCTCCTGCCTCTCTCTTTGAAGTCAGGGAGAAGATGCGAGAAAGGAAGTTAGTGAGCTAGCAGGACCTTTTGGCAGCGGGGTGGGAATGGGGTAGAAGGTACAGATAGAAGAGCTGGGTTTACAGAGCACTTTGGCTTATCTTTTCCTTAGTCAGGAGCATGCAGAGAGGCTAGTTGTAGGGTCAGAAAATTGATGACCATCAACATGAGACTAGATGGTGGAACTCCACAGAAGTTCAGAATAGTTGCTATCTTGTTAGATGTGCCTAGGGGAATGAGTTTTTGGTTGAAGGGAGTGGCACAGAAAAGGAACTTACAAGGAAGAGAATTGAGCCATGTTTTATTGCTCACCCACCCTATTACCTTGGACATACCGTGCTTCAGTTTCTCCATCCATAAAGTGAGAGAGCTAGATGAAATTATTTCTGGATTCTTTGCTGTCTTTAGTTAGCCATGGAGGAGTTTCTAAATGCTGCATAATTACCCTGAGTGTTCTGATCTTTCAAAAAGGACCCTGAACCTTTTTGGAATGATTTCTTTTGGACCAGACTTGATATGTGAAAATCTAATTCAGTCAATTAAGAAAATTAAAAATTGATTATTCATTTTTTAAGAGATGTGTCACTTTACCAAAAAAAATTCTTTTGAATAGTAAGATGTTATCATGCATTTAAAACAATCAATTTTTACAAAAACTATATTCACCCCCAGCTCCCACAGGGCCTATAACATAAAAGGAAGAATACTTGCAGAGGTGAAAGTTTAGTGTGACATTAAATCTCAGCATCATCTCCAACTGCTAATTTGCCAGTTATTATTTCACTTCATTTAAGTGTCTGCTGAAATGGGACTTCCTTAGGGAGGCCTCTCTAAAAATAAATCTCTCTCTGTCCTCTTATTCTGTGTTTTTTTTTTATGCAGTTAGCACTACCATTTTATTACATATTTATTTACTTTTTCCATGGTTGTGATGTGAGATCTCTAATGATAGAGTTTATTTTATTCATGCTATTGTTCTGCTGCCTAAACTGTGCCTGGTGTAGAGGAAATGTGTAGTAAATATTTATTTGTATTATATACCTATGAATGAATTTCATTCTATTGTGACCTATAAGAAAACAGATGTCAAATTCAGAAGTATTTTTAGGATTTTTTTTTTGGGGGGGGTATCAGGGATTGAACCCAGAGGTGCTTAACCACTGAGTCACATCCCCAGCCCTTTTTATTTTTTAATTTTGATACAGGGTCTCACTAAGTTACTTAGGGCCTTGCTAAGTTGCTAAGGCTAGTTTTAAACTTGTGATCCTTTTGCCTCAGCCTCCCAAGTCACTGGGATTATAAACATGTGTCACCATGCCTAGTTTATGATTTTTATTTGGTGATTTCTAGGTTCCAAGGACTACCAACTGGTTACATGGTCCCGGGATCAGACTTTGAGAATGTGGCGAGTGGATTACCAGATGCAAAGGGTATGTATGCAGTGCTTTTGTGGAGGTGTATAGCTGGATAAACTAGAAAGTTAACAATAGCAGAAGTTTCTTCCAGTATTTGTGAAGGTAGAGGATACATGATATACACCTCACACACATGACTTGTTGGCTGAACAACATGGTTTATACATGCCATACTGGCTTTGAGATCTTTAAGAACTAAAGTGTTTAGCATTTTGAGGCTGAAGAGCCTGTCAGTATTTTTTTCCTCTTGTCCTGGTACAAGATAGGGTGGATACACACTGAGCAAGTGGCCATTGGCTTCATTTCGTTGTCTTTAATGGGCTAAGAAGTCTACCCTTGTTCTCTGCGGACATTCAGAGTCCTTTCTTCCATCAACACAACCTTTTCTATGAAGCTATTTCCAGTCTTTTCCAAACGTGATATTTGTTTGTTATATAAACCACAGTGGTAACTGGCATGAATTGCTCTTGTGACTCAGTTCAATTCTGCCTTGTCATGGGGCTCTCTTTTCCTCCTTCAGTGGCTTAATCCCTTGGTAGGAAGAAATGTGCCTGACTGGTATTGCATCCTCCATGCACCTGGAACACCATTTTGCATAGAACTAATGGAAATTTTGTAATATTGCTTAGAATAAAATAATTGTTGAGCATTTTGGCCTGGTCCCATCACATTATTGCCTTTTCAACCTATTTTCTCCAAAAGGTGTCATTTGCTCAGATGCTTTGAGGTTATCATTATGGATTAGTTGAATGACTCCATTATTGGAATTTAATTTTCTCTGAGCCTTTCATAAACTCTGAATGTCTGGAGTAGAATAATAGGGTGTTATCCTGTGTATTTAACCAGGGGGAGTTGGTGATGGTCACAAACTATTTTGATTCCACCAGTTCTTGGCTGACACATCTATCCTGTATGAGTCCCATTTTTAAATCAGAGCTCTTAGCCAGGCAGACTGATCATTTCCACTGATCCTTTGGTCCCTCATCTTCTACCCTTTGTTGCAGCTCTGTGCCAATGACATATTAGATGGTGTTGATGAGTTCATTGAGAGCATTTCTCTTCTGCCAGAACCAGAGAAGACCCTGCACACTCAAGATTCAGATCACCAGCATAACTCAAGCCATGGAGAGGAAGAAGGTAATGTGTCAGACTGATGTCTGAGGGGAGGGGCCACAAATTGTACAGTAAATACTCCAGAACCTACTCATCAAAAATATTTTCCAACATTGACCATCTTTTCTGCCAGTGGTTAAGGAAGATCCCCCTAGCAGTCTCCTGGAAGAGAGGAAGTCAGATCAGCTGGG